AATAAAGGTGAATGTGTAGATTTATTGAAGATTGAGGGAAGTCCTATCTGTTGGTTCCTGTTTCTTCTCTATGAATTAGGGGGCTGAGTTATCGGCTGAGTTGCAGGGAGTGGAGAGGGATCAGGAGTCTGAAGAAAGTAAACAACACAAGGGAGAGTTGCCCAGGTAACACAGGACTTCCAGATGGTCTTAAGGGCACAGTTGAGGTTGGCTGCTCTCAATTTAATATAACTTCATTTATGATTTCCCCTTTCAGCTTCATGAGACACCTGGTTACAGGTGTTGTGAATGCAGAATTAGTATCACAGGGGACTTTGTGCACAGATGTGATAAAATAAATGGAGCAAAGGAATTGAAGATATTATCAAGAGAGAAATTGCAGTGACAAAACACAGAATCTAAATTAGAAGATGGTGAAAACAGGGGAGGAGATCCATCAAAAGAAAGTCAAGAGACCAAAGGATCAGAGACATTAAAGGGTCAAAGGAATGTCATTTTTGACCATGAATAAGAGAATTGGAAGATCATGAGTGAGAGAACTGGAAGATAAGGCTTACATATTTCAAACTTTGTACAATTCTGGATGTTGACAACGTTCAGAATGTGAAATGGGAGTGAATGGCTGAAGCAGAATAAAGAACAAGAACTGAGAAGTTTCAATACTGGTAAGTTAAACTATATGGTCTTGGCCCAATTTGTAAAAATAGAGGAGTATGAAATAGGTGTTTTTCAAACTTCGGTGTGCATGTGAATCCTCTGAGTATTTATTAAAATGTAGGCTATGATTCAGTAGATTTGGGGCGAGGCTTGAAATTCTGTATTTCTAACAAGCTGTCAGGTGATGCCACTGCTGCTGGTAGGGAGACCCACACTGAGCAGTAAGGCACTGGGTAACCCTATCACTGACTTCCATACATACTGTCTTCTTCTTCTTCTTTTTTAGTTAGGAGTCCAAGTGTTGGTTGGAAATGCCATACTGCCTTTTTAAAGTAATCCTCTATCCCACTCCGCTGAAAAGGGCAGAAATTAAAAACTGTTCCACTTGGTCTGTTCTGTTGGCTGGCTAAGGGTGAAAACCCGATGCAACTAGAAGTCAATCCATGATCTGGACTGAGCTAATTAAAATTCCTCATGAGTATCTGAACTGAGCTTGGCAAGTAGTGGTGGGCACTGGAGCTTTAAGGTCCATTTTCCATGAGTCCAGCACCAAAACAAGCTAAAGCCACATGCAAGTTTATGTTTTGGGAAAGTAGCAATCGTGAGGAAACAGAGGAAGCTGGTTCTTAGGAAAACAAACAAAGCAGAGGCATAGAAAATTGATGAGACAAGAGAATAAGCAGCTCTAGAATGAGAAGGTCATTATCCCTTACTCAACTTTTCTCCTCAAACACACTCTATACAAATACCTGTCCTCCCCTCCTCGTCTTGACTAACTCATAGTCTCCTTTTGGGTTCCGATTTAGAAAGTCTCCTCAAGGAAGCTTTTCCTGCCACCTGAAGTTAGAGGGTATCCTCCCACATATCCCAAGAGTGTCCAGTTCATAGTACTTGTCACCATCTATGACAACCACTATTTGGATACTTACTATTTGCTGGTGTCTTATGCAAATTCTCTATCAAATTTTTTTTTTTTTTTTGAGTTGCGGTTTCACTCTGTCACTCGGTTGGAAGGCAGTGGCATGATCAAGGCTCCCTGCCACCCTGACCTCCTGGGCTCAGGTGGTCCTTCTACCTGTCTCTTGAGGAGTTAAGACTACAGGTGCATGTCACCATGCCTGGTTAATTTATATGTATGAAGCAGCTCAAGAGAAGTTAGATAGCTTGACTAAGATCACATAACCTATAGATGGTGGCATCAAGGTTTAATGGCAGATATGAGGTCTGACAATTAAGTTTGCGAACTCATCCTAGAAAGAGTGCTACATTACCTCATTGCTGAATATCACTATGGTCACCTTTGAAGTATTCCCCTTGGAAAGCTATGCACTGATGCCAGCACCTGGTCCACCCATCAAAGCAATTTTGGAACTCTTTTTCTGGAATGGTCATCAGAGCTGTTGCTGCCTTATCCTTGATGTCCTGAATGTCATCAAAATGTCTTCTTTTCAACATTTCCTTTATTGGGGGCCAGATCAGATAAGTAGAAAGGGTGTTCCAATAGTTATTTACTTACTGGCTAAAGACTTCCTCATAGAGTGCTGTGTGAGCTGGTGCATCATCGTGATGCAAGAGCTCCTTTGGGACCATTTTTGTACACACCTTTTTTTTTTTTTAAGTTGGAGTCTCACTCTGTCGCCCAGACTGGAGTGCAGTGGCTGCTCCCGGCCACCACAGCCTCAACCTGCTGGCCTCCGGCGACCCTTCCACCTCAGCCTTCCGAGTAGCTGGAATTACAGGCATGCGCTACCACACCCCGCTGATTTTTTGATTTATTGTAGAGATGAGGTCTCGCTGCCCAGGCGGGTCTCGAACCTGCGGGCTCAGGCAATCCACTCACCTCAGCCTCCCAAAGGCGCGGGATTACAGGCTGAGCCACCGAGCCCGACTTACACATCTTTCTTATGCCATGATTTTTAGTTAAAATTTTCCTGTTTCTTTATTGATTTCTATTTGGTCTGTTATGCTTCTCACAGTCAGCCAGCAATTTTGATTCACAATTTGATGAATTTTTGCAAATTTTTTTGTCAGTTCGGCTTGTTACTAGCCGTCCTGACCTCTCTTCCTCAGTGACACTTTCTCTCCCCTCAGAAAAAAGTTAACCCATTTGTACACTGCCATTTTCTTTATGGCATTATCCCCATAAACTTGGACTAACATGTCCCTGATTTCATTTCCATTCTTGCCAAACTTAATGTTTACTCGTTGCTCTAATTTTAAAGCTTCAACATTCTCACAATAGCACACAAAACATGCAACTATAACTAATGCCACTCAGCAAGACACTGCCACACATCAACACAAACGCAGTTGTGAGACACTGATATACCAAGGTAATGAAACCTTACGGAGTTGTTTGTACAGTAAGCACACAGTAGCAAGTTCGCGAACTTAATTGTCCGACTCCATATGATTAACTTTTAAGTCTGTGCTTTTACTTTGCTATTCTACCTTCTCCTTGCTCTCCATTGTAATCATGTGTCTCTATCTTCCACTGTAGCTATGACTATGCCTGTGTCTTGATCACTACCCTGTCTGGTAGTTGCCTACTGTGTAACAGATTCTTATAAGTATTTTGTTGTATGAGGCTGAATGGGAGTGAATAAAATTATTTGTAAGTCCAACAACCTTCCAATAGAACTAGATGCAGTACTATGCAGCATTGTTGCTGTTTCATCAAAAAATCCTAGCAAGCAGAAGATCATTCATAAAATATATAAGTGGTAGATAAAATATGCGCCATATCTAATGTGACTCTGTCTTGAAAATTCCAAATCTGTAAATCTATGTGCTTCTTAGTCCATCCTTCGTTTTAAGCCCTTGTCTTAAACTGATGCTGTCCACCTAGAATCATGGCTTGGAATCTAAGTGTTGTATGGGTACAACTTTCCAACCCAGACTCTCCAGGCACACAAACGTTTTCAGAACTCTCCTCACTCTAGGCCCAACGTAATGTCCTGGGAATTCGGCGTGGATGCTTATTTCCCAATATTTAAGAATGACTCTAAATGCAAAGTTATCTCTAAGGGCCTGTCCACGTCCAATTCTCTAGACCCTAAAACCTGGATAAGAGGGGACAGGTGAAGCGCTGGCTCCGTGGCTGCAAACTTGCTAAGTCAGGACCATAATGGGCAGAATGAGTGGACAGCTCAAAGAAGTGCCTAGCACTATGAACCTCGCGACTGCTTCTGTAAACAACAGAATCACAGAACAAAACAAGACAGACAGACAGACCTAAACCAAAATGATGGATGACTCCCATTTGGTCCTAGTTGTGTAAAGACGGGGGTGGCTAACGGGGCTAGTTGTTTTTAAGCCGCTTTCTCCCGCTAAGCGCAAAGCTAGCAGAAGCGTGCTTAGCCCACAGGCATCGCGCAGTCGCCCAGCACTGAGGCTGCGAAGCGCGGGGCCGCGGACACCGGCCGCCCCGCGGGCAGTGAGCTGGCACCGCTAGAAATAAAGCTCCGCAGCCAATGCGGCGCCTCGACCCGCGGGATTGGCAGCCGGGGTCGTGACGCGGCCTGGGCGGGCCGGGCGGGTTTACGACAGTGGCGGCGGCTCCGGGCCGCGGGAGCCGAACGGGGTGCTCGGGGGCGTTCGCGGCGCCGCGCGCCCGGAGTCAGCCCGCGCGACAGGGCTCTTCCTCCCCAATTGTCCGGCCGGCGTCTCCGAGCCCCGGTCTCGGATCCCGCCGAGGGTGTGGACCCGGGGCCCGCGCACCCAGACGCGGCAGGGGCTCCTGAGGGTGCGGACGCCGGGGGACGCCGAGGTTTGGCCTGCGGGCCCCGGGGGCGGGGGGGGGGGAG